GAGATAGATCATCTTTATTGTTTCATATTATACGTAATAGTTATTTAAAATCACGAATAATGGATTTTTTCTAGAATTTGTTTTAACAAATTCAAATATTATAATATATAACAATCAACTTGAATTTCTTATATTAATATATTACATTTAAAAAAAATTACCATTTTGTTTGTACCAGTTAATATATTATATTATTAAAAATCTGTTTCAATTATATTTTAAAATATCATAGTTTATTAATTTTTTAAGATATCATTTTAAATCATTTTACATCTTTATCAACTAGTTTTTTCAAATATGATCTGTTAATCAGCTAACTTATTAACTAGTTTATCAAACATAGCCCAAATATTAGATACTTAAATACAAAACCGGCAAAAATAAAAAAAATTAGATACAAAATCAAGATCTAGGCCACAAACAAATCTTATTAATATTTTAATATTATATATTTATAATTAATAATCAAAGATTTTGTCATTGTCTATCAAAAACCACTGTAAATTCTTGCATGTAGACATAGACATAAAATAAAAAGCGTTTACGATCATGAAATAGTTAATTGTTTGATATAATCATATAAAACTTTTTTATTTTTTTATTTAAATTATTAGTCGTTTTAAATAAATATTATTCTTAAAATATTAATCCAAGTCATTATATGTAATTTATATTAAAAATATTTTTGATATAACATATTTATGATCATTATTTGATAATAACAATTAATTTAATAAAATACAAAAATTAGAATTTTTCGTGGTTATTTTAGTATTATTTTCTCACCAAAATAAACAAATTATAATAATTATTAAATTTGTACTAATTTTTTTAATGATTATTTTATTAGTTTTTATTGTGTAAGTGGGGTTTATGCACACATTTTTGCCGATTGAGAGGCCATAGTGACATTTTGGCATTTATTATTATTATCGCTCATGTGGATGAGATAGATGACATTTTAAAAGACTCTTCAACCGTTTAGACTTGAAAGTGATTTCATTTTGAGGGCATGGATGGCTCATCGTGACGTATGGGTGTTAACGCGTTCGGTTGAATGTATTTAAATATCATATCTAAACAATTATATATGATGTTTGTAGTTTGAAAAATTTCAGTCTAATCCAAA